TCTGGTTCCGGTTTCCTGGGTCTGAGTCCAGGGAACCTGGGCACACCACCCGCTGTCCCACCCCCACCCCAGTTTGGGCACACGAGCCCAGAAAGGTTCGCCACCACTGGACTAGAGAATGGGTAAGAAGAAATGGTAAATGTATGGAGCTTACAAAATTTGAAGAAAATGTGTTATAGATTGAAAAGGAAAATGGGCATAAAAGAATGAAGGGAATGATAAGTAAAATTTATAGTGTTAACAGAAGTAGAGGGTCAAGATGAGGTTTTAAAGATCCTATGGGCAACAGATTTGGGAGAGGAAATATGTACTCAGAAGTGGAAGAATATATGGAATAAAAGAAAAATGTATGTCTATAAGAATAAAAGAAAAATTTTATAAATCAGTTTGGAGATAGTACTTAACACCAGTGAAACTGAATATATGGATAAAAGTACTCCAAAATATGTTGGAGGTGTAAGCAAGAAGTGGGAACCTGCTTCCATATGCAGTAGGAATGCGAATATATAATAATATATATTAAATTCTGGAAATTGGTTTTCAAAGAAATAAGTGAAATATTAAATTTATATCTAAAAATATGTCCAGAAATAGCACTTTATTTATTTATTTATTGATATATATAACTTATATGCCGCCCACACTACCCGAGGGGGAATAATGGTATTCAACAAAGAATTTATTATAAATTTAGTAACAGCAGCTAAATTAATAATAGCAAAGAATTGGAAGGTTATGTGTGGTCTCCAACTAAATGAATGGTAAAAAGAAGTGTGGAATATAGCTATTAATGATAAATTAACATGTGAAATTAGAGTAAGAACAGGAAAGGTAATTAAGAATGAGTTTGGAGATATATGGGGAGAATTTATCGATTTTATATAAATAAAGGGGAAGGATTGTATAGTCTATGTATTTTTGGAAGGGGAAGTGGGGCTCCATAAAAGGAAGGAGTAGATTATCTCCACTGGTCCTAGTGAAGCGGAGCACAATAAGTGTATATCTAGGGATTTTTTTGTTTATTAATATATTTTTTAAAAAGAGTGCTCTATATTCATTCTTTATCAACATCTTATATGTTGCACTTATTATCCTCCTTCTATTTTTATTACTTTCCAACTTCTCCATTTTTTCTAGTAATTTTTTCAGATTTTATCATCATTCAACCCTTTCCTTTTTTCTCCATTAATTTATGCAGTCCTCTAACTGAATTATATTCAACCCTGTAATTCTTCTCCTAATAATTGTTTTATTTGCTATCTGTTATACATCTTTATCCAATAACTTCCAGTCCTATTAAAACCCTTTTAAACTTTCTCTTAAGATTTAAGGGAAGGAACTTAGTACTCCCCTATAGTTTTCTAATATTGTAATATATGATTTAAAAAGGGATTATCTATATTTCTAACAATAGCTTTAATATTTTATTTTAAAAGTATTTTCCATAATTCCTTAAACTCCTCTTCATTCCAGATTACATTTTTACTATTTACTATAATATCTGGAATGTGTCTCAGTTATTTTGCTATGTAATATAATATTTAGTAAACTTAAGCTTCACTCTCTTTATGATATGTACCATAATTTTTTTCTTTACCCTTGAACTTTTATTTCCACTGCAAAATATATTAATCATATTCTGTCATTCTTTTAATTCCTTATCACCTATCTTTATGGTACCATCCAAAATGAATAATAATAATAATTTAGGGATAATCTTCATTTTACATAGTGCTATTCTTCTATACCAACATAACTTTGATTTTTTATATTTCTTTATTTGCTCCTTAATTTTTTTTTACTTTATCAATTCTCAATTTTACAATGCCTTGCAGATACAAAGTACAGTGGTGCCTCGCTTAGCAATCGCTCCGTTCAACGATGAAATTGCTTAGCAATGGGGTTTTGGCCATCGCCAGAGCGATCGCTTAGCGATGGCCCCTATGGAGAAAAATCGCTTTGCGATGATCGGGGGGGAGGGATCACCGCAAAGCCCCCATTTTCCGCCAGCTGATCAGCGGTTTCATACTGGCCGCCGGAAAACAAAATGGCTGCCCGCTGTGTTGCCTCGCTTTAGAGGCACCGAAAATGGCCGCCGCAATGGAGGATCTTCGCATAAAGCCCATAGGAACGTATTAAACAAGTTTTAATGCATTTCTATGGGCTTTTAAAAATCGCTTAGTGATTAAATCGCTTAGCGACTTTTTTCCGGAACGGATTAATGTCGCTAAACAAGGCACCACTGTAATATTTATCCTTGAATGTAGTGGACAGTGCACTACTATATACATCCCAGTAAAACATTAGTCATTTCTTAGTTCTTCCTTTTGCTTTAAACATAGCTGAAACCCCCTTTTTGTTATATTTTGTATTTTTCAATATATTTTCATATTTTTATTATCGGGTTTTTTTGCTTCTCTTGCAATTCTGAGCTCATTTTGAGCTTTAGCCTTCTCTCCCTTCTAACTTCAAATGTACCACTTTTTACTCTTAACTGTTCATTTGCCTCTCTTTTTACTTGGTATATTTCAAAATAAAACAGCACTTTTAAAAAAAGAAAAATGAACATATAAAAAGTACAGTAATGAACGTTTGTACACACACTTCAGTGTAAGGTGACTAAGTAGTATGCATATGAAATTGTCATCTATATAGAACCACTGTCAAATGTTGACCAAAGTGAAATACTCATTCCATTGAATAATAGAAAGTAGGCATTGTTTCTTCTTCGTGGTCTCTGTGAATGCACACTAATGGGTTTCATCTGTTCCTGCGCAGAGGTCTCCAGAATATTCCAAAGCTTTATGCTGTGCTCATGAAGGACCGCCCCCCTAGCCCACGAGACTCATGAAGGACCGCGCTCCTAGCCCACGAGGTCCACCCACCCTCACAGTTACCTCAGTTCCTTTTTACTGCCGCCACATGAGGTCTCTCCTCCATCGAGCTCCTGCATTTGTTAGATTTTTCTATAAAAAAGGAATAATAGGACCATTTTTTTCTCAACTTTTGAACTCTTCTAATCAACATTTACCATAACATCATTAGATAAGAACATTATTTGGAATTTTTCCCCTTTCTCCCACCATTTATGGCACACACGCCCCCTTCAAAAAGTGCACGTCATGCTCTAATAAAATTCCCCTTACAGACGGCCACAATATCTGCCTGTTCTGTTTCGGGGAAGCCCACCAAACATCTTGCCAATTTTGTAAAAACCTTATAAACAAGCACAAAAATTAAGGCAACAAAGACTCATGTCTTTTCTCTGGGAAAAATCTTTTAAACCTCAGACAATGGATTTGCCTCATATAGCGCTACCCCCAGACAATCCCCGGTTCTCTCAACAGTATCTTCATCTGCCAAATCATCTACTAAAACTACCCAAAAAACGAAATCGAAATGACCGAATTTGGACACGTTGACACCAGTACTAAAGTCCCCTTCCATATCAGACACCTCTAAAAAACTAAGAAATGAAAGAAAGCATGCTTGAACAAGCGCACACTCTCTCATGGGCATGGCCACGCTCGTGCACACGCACAAACTGGCATGGTGTGTTCTGGGTGCACACATGCTCATGCGCAAATGGTGGCACAGTGCTCACATGGGCATCCTGGAGCGCATGCGCAGCAGCAAACAGGCTGTGTGGGGTGAGTGCGTGCGGGGGGAGCAGGAGGTCTGTCTTGGCAGCCCAGTCCGGTTCAGGCCACGGACCAGCACTGGGCAGTAGACCGGGGATTGGGGGCCTCTGCTCCAGAGGACATTCTGATACCGATTCAACTTGAGTCGTCTGTTCTCGCTGTCTCTCCAACACCTCTGGTTAGTCCCGCGGACGTTACAGTGACTCCAACATCACTGCTTTTCAGCCCTATATCGACAGTGTGATCAGTGTCGGCTCATGAATCCAACCATCATGATCAGGCACCCAATGTTTCTCCTCCCCACAAGAGGTTGAGGAAAGAACATCAAATTTCTCATCATCAGTACCATGGTGCCAATAGCATGAGACCCGTTTCTCCACCTGAGCCCTTCACACCCGTTTGTCCTCCCTTCAAGCTTCCAGCTACCACATAGGAACACATCTCCTCTCTCAAAACAATTAATCTACCGACCTTTCTTCTGTACCCTACTGCTGATCTAGACAAATCACCACATGCATTAAACACCGAGGGGCCCAGGCCTTCTATACCTACAGGACGGCCCCATTCACAAAGTCTAACGACTGTTCATGTCAACATACCACCCACAAGGGGTTATTCGGATATCCTCACTGACAATATCCCGATGCATTATCTACACTATACATCTGACATAACAACTCGCCAAGCAACCTTTGCCTTAAGGCATTAAGGCTCATTCGGCGAGGATAACAGCCTCTTCCACAGCGCCCTTCTGCGGAGTCCCATTGATGGACATTTGCAAACTGCTACTTTGACAACACAGTGTTTGCCTCCCATTACAGGTTGGACGCAACAGCCAAAGTCGATGCTGCCTCCAGGAGAGCTGTGTTTTTCCAGTTCTTCCGTGACATCCCTCCATCTGCAAGGTAAACCTGTTAGTCACCCATTAGTATGCATTCACAGAGACCACGAAGAAGAACAAGACGTTACATACCTGTAACTCCGGTTCTTCAAGTGGTCATCTGTGAATTCACACTTCCCGCCCGTCCTCCCCTCTGTCCATCACTCCTCTATCCTTTGATGCAGCGGCAGGCTGTGTTGGGAACTGAGATAACTGAGGGCGGGCGGACCTCGTGGGCTGGTGGGGCAGTGCTTCACGAGTGTAGCATAAAGCTTTGGAATATTCCGGAGACCTCTGCACAGGTGCAGATGAAACCCATTAGTGTGAATTCACAGATGACCATTTGAAGAACAGGTAAGTAACCTCTTTTTATCATTTCAGTGTTACAATATATGTCTTCCTGCCTTCATACTTTTATGTGTGGTGGTGTTTTTTCAGTATACAAAGATGACACTGAATTCTATCCTTTGTCTCTACAGCATGTCTTTTGTGAAGAGTGTCTCTGTCTTTGGTTTGACAAGGAGAAAACCTGCCCACTCTGTCGCTCTGTGGCAGTGGAAACCGTGCGATGCTGGAAGGATGGCACCACTTCTGCTCATTTCCAGGTGTATTAATTTCTAAATTGTACCAGGAAGTAAGAGAGATGTGGAGAGACATGTTGTTTAAAAAGAGAAGAGGAGAAAGATGGAGGTAGGGTATTTGCCACTGCAGCTTCTCCAGGACTGTTCTGTTGAAAGTGTGTAATCAATTAACAGAACTCTGCCTCAATCTGGCCTTGGAACAGGACTGGGAAAATATCACAGATTCATCAGTGGCTATTAATAACATTGGTTAAATACAACTTCTATTCAAGAGCCATGTACTACAGATTATCTGTTGTCAATTATCAGCAGTGGCTGAGATGTGTTAAATTTTTTACCTATAACCTCTTGGGAATATTCCAGGTATAACCCCATACTGGAGATTCTAGGAATAATACTTTATAAAAGTAACTTGTCAAGGTCTGCTTCTCTTTGACTAATGTTGGAAATAAGATGCCGGACCAGATGGTTTAGTCTTGGTTCAAGCAGGGCTGTTCTGTGAGTTAGAAAAATCTGGGTGACAAGTGACTTCTTGCTGTTTAAAAACTGATCACTGGCCTATGTTTTATTCATGTTTGTATTGTCACTGTGTTGATGTTATATGCCCTCATCAGAGAAGTAGTTTCTCCCAAAGGCTGTTTGCATTGCATTAATCGGTTGTAAATCAAATGGAAGTGGGAACTGCTATTTAATTATATATTTCTTTTAACCCAGCACATATACTACATATTACGTAGAACTCCCAAGTCTACCAGACCTCATTTCATTGGATTTATAGATTGCCTTTTCTTCCAAATTTAAAACTCAAGCTGTTTACATTATGAAAAACAGGTACACTGAACAATAAGCTATTATAATATTAAATATTAACATAATATTATAACACTAAAACGTAATTAAATGGGCAATTATTAAAATACCAGCTATACTAAAAGCAGTTTTAAAAGTGTATCCGTTTAAGAAAGAGAAAGGAAAGAAACAGAAAATTCACATCTGGAATGAGCTGACTACTAAAGTATATTATACATCCGGGGTAGTATAGTGGTGAGTTTTGAACTAGTGACTTGAGAGAAGCAGATGCTAGTCCCCAGTGAGAACTCAGCGGACTTGGGTGACTTTGGATCAGTCTCTCACTCTCAGCCTGACCTGAGGGTTGTTTTGAGCATAAAAGAGGAAAGGGGGCAGACATGTATGCTGCTTGAGCTCAATTGAAGAAAGGCAGTATCTGAACATGGCAAGTTAATAAAACCATCTCCTTGAATCGCAGCATAAATGATTCTGTGTGCCTGTGTTTCTGCCCACCATCTCATCACTTTGCATTACTGTATACTATCATGCTGGTCATGTTCAGTTGATTTTGTTATACAGAGTTAGAATCTTGGCATCCAGCATTTCTTCACCAACCAACACTGGTTCTCCAGAACTTCATGCAGGTATTTATCCAGTTTTACTTGGAGTTGCTAAGGACTGAATGTGGGACTTCCTTTTGCAGAGGTGGTACAGTCTACCACTGAACCACAGATTCTCTCCTCCTCCCTTCCTCCTGTTGGATCCTGGCTTCAGAATTGTATGTCATGCTTTGTTTTCGTAGAATGGCATTTAAGTTAAATGTCAGTTGGTGCAAGTTCGGATCTTTATGCTAAAGCCAAAGAATAGGGCAAGGGTGGGTAAGAGAAGAGCAATGGTGAGTCACAGCTTCCTGAACCAGGTGAAGACGTGAACAACCTTATAAAGCTGGCTATTTTTTATTTAACTATATCTCTGCTTGCATGCTTATGCCTCTGCATGTAGAAACAAAACGAAATAAAAACTGTGTCTCTGTAAAAAAAAGGTTCAGTTACCTTCGTTTTAAAAAGACTTTGAAAAGGCCACTGGTTATTGTTTAACAAAACCCCTTTCCTTCCACCTTATCTCTGCTTGTAGAAATAAAACAAAACCAATTATTATATTAAAAGAAGTGTAACAGTTTCAGCTTTAAAAGGTGTGCCAATTATAAAAAAGCAAAATAAGTACAATGGTGCCTCGCATAGCGATCGCTCCGTTTAGTGACAAAATCGCTTTGCGATGAACATTTTGCGATCGCAAAAGTGATCGCTTTGCGATGTTCCCTATGGGGTATTTTCGCTTTGCGATGACTGATCATCGCAAAGTGACCATTTTCGCACAGGTGATCGGCGGTTTCAAAGTGGCCGCCGGGAAAAACATGGCCGCCCGCTGTTTTCTGGGACAGATTCCTCATTTAAGAGCCACCAGAAATGGCTGCGCTATGGAGGATCTTCGCTGAACTGTGAGTTTTAAGCCCATAGGAACGCATTAATCGCGTTTTAATGCATTTGTATGGGCTTTTTTTATTTCGCATTGCGACATTTTCATTCTGCAGCGATTTTTGCGGAATGAATTAACGTCGCAATGTGAGGCACCACTGTAAATTGTATTCATATATCATTTGTTCTCTGTGCAAAGCATCTATGATATGGCAACTTCTATTTGGTAGTTTATTTTTTTGTAAATGCCATGTTATTTTATTTGTATTGTGTTTCAGATCTAAATGCCAGTAAGAACTGATTTGCAGATTTACACCAACATCCTTCCTGGAAGTATTTGAACATCTAGCTAGTGTCTAAAAGACTTGTAGTCCATGGAGGGAGAAGACTAGAGATGGGGGTCTTTGTATTCATAAACGAATACCCCTGCACAGGTCGACATAATTAGGGTCCAGCCACCTGGGGCCAGACTGTCCACTCACCCGTCTGCTGCTGCAGCTGGCTCCACGCTCCCTTCCAATCGCTCTGGAGCTTGTGGTCAACCAGCCACTAGTCAGCCTGGCAGGGAGGCTCGTCTTCCCTCCTTCTGCAGCAATGGACAGGTGAGTACATGGTTTGGCCCCAGGGTGCCGGACCCTTGTTATGTCCACCTGTGTGGGGTTTTCTTATACAAATACCCCCCTCTCTAGAGAAGACACTGGCTCAGCCTAGCTTATTTCATAACTGTTTAATGAGAGAATAAAATGGAAACAGGAGCAAGTACACAGTCTTCAACTCATTTCAGATATCATGTAAAATAAAATGGTTTGGAGTACAACTGTACATTACAGTATATTTCACAGAAGCATAGATCTGTTGGAACAGGGACATGCATGTGTGAATGAGTACACATAGCTTTATACGTCTTGGTGGTCAAGGAATGGCTCTTTGGAATCAGCAGATGGAATGCTAGGTTGGGGTGGCACTGTAGCATAGGTGCGCTCTTTGTCTTACGGGACCTGGTCTGCTTGGTCTTGCAACTCTGACCATGGTACAAGAGGAAAGGCCCATGGTAACTTGGTATCGGGAGCCCCATGAAAATGAAACATTTTGAACAAACAGAGAAAATAAAAGTTGGCAATCCTTGTTGCTTTGCTTTTTCTTTTAATAAGATCAGTATAGATATGTACAATGCCTCCAGCATAAGAAATTCTTTTTACAAAAATGTCGGGAAAATCCCCATCAAATTGCAAATGAAAATGATTTATTACACCCAAAATGTACCCAAATGGAGTGTTGCAAGGGTGACTCCCAATTGAAGCTGATGTCCTGAGTTGTCAAAAGAAGAGTCAGCATCTCACATTTTACATCTTTCAGGACAGAGAACATCCGGACATATTGGCAATGTTGTGTGATTGGTCTTGAATATCTGATTTATTGATATAAGGGTAGAGCTATGGTGCATCCCAAACTTTCTTTTTGATGCCAGCTTGTGGGGGAAAGGTTACCCTTGTTACTTGGGATTCTAATTGCCATAGTTCCTGGCCATTGGTTATGTTGGTTGGGACTTATAGGAACTAGCTAGTCCAGCATATTTGAAGGCATTAAGTTGATAACCACATTCATAAGAAGACAGCAACCGTGTCTGGCATTGCTGGAATTTGTTGCTATGGAAATTACATCATGACTGGACTCTGCTGTTTCTCAGATGTATTATTGTATAATGTCCTTTTTTTTCTTAGCACATGGTGTTTGTTGCAGCCTGTCCCAATGAAGTCTGTAAATCTCTCGACAGACAGACAGACACACACACACACACACATTCCCATTCATTTCCAAATGTTGATTGTATTTTCGTCTCTCATTTTGTCTGTAGTGTGAAAACTTTGAGAGTTGAACTGTATAAAAGCACAAACCTGCCCAGCCTAAAACAGAGGACTGAGTACACTACAAAAATGCATGTTGTAGACATCAACGAGAAAGGAAGTTGATAGTTACTTATTTTTTAAAAAATGCAATCCTGTTTCCCAAAACCATAGGACTACAAGAATATTGATCATCCTAAAAAATATAAGTAACTAGCCCCTCAAAGGCAAATGACAGAATTCCTACAGTAAATGTGGACTATTCAGAGGACTCTTTGAGTTTTTTGGATAGCTAGATGCTGCAAATTCTGTTGTGCCCTTGAATGCCAGGATTCCTAGGTGTGATTTTCTGTATTTAACAGAAGTCTGTTTAAGCCATATGTTGCCATGTAATACTAATGAAGAAGGATAAGAGGGGTTCTGTTTGTAGGGGAAAAGCAAGAGATAGGAAAGTCTGCAGATATCTTATGTCCCCCTCATACCTCACAAGGAGTTGAGACTAGAAAAGATTTCTTATTTGCTTTGAATAACAAATTTATACCTGTAAGGCAGCTTTTTGTGTACAGGAATTACCTGTACAGGATTATGTAGAAGCAGTGGTAGTGAGTTAGAATCTGTTTCCCACCCCCCACACATGAATCTATACAGTATATAGTTATGGAGTGGGTAAAATGTGGTCCTCCAGAAGTTGTTGCAGTGCAAGTCTTACCAACCTTACGTAGTGTTGTTGTTGTTTAGTCGTGTCCAAGTCTTCGTGACCCCATGGACCAGAGCACGCCAGGCCCTCCTGTCTTCGACTGCCTCCCGGAGTTGGGTCAAAGTCATGTTGGCTACGTAGTGTAGCCAGTGGCAAAGAATCTTGGGAGTTGTGCTTCAACAGGAAAGCCATATTTTTGCCCACCCTTGGAAAACAGTAATACCTGGAAGGACTGAAATCCATGGATCTGGTTAGTTCTTATTGCTTTAAGTGCCATTGGTTGTCATATTAATCTAAATATGACTGAGACTGGGTAAAGCCAATGTTTTGTATGCAACAAAACATTCCCTTCATCACTTTATTTCAGTGTTAAAGTAGCCTTTGGCTAGGCATTCTGTTGAATTCTTTTCCCATTCCATAACAATGTCTAATTTGAGACCAGCGCTTCTCAACTACTCTGCTTGTTTGTCTGTCTGTGTGGATACATACTAATGTTAATTACACACTCAGACCCAATAACTATAATATCAAATGACAATTTAGCATACGGGGAAGCAATTGTGATAGGGCAGACAAGGCACAGGTCATGTGAAAAATTCAAATGTGAATCACAAGATTACGCTGTCATAAGACAAGAGAGCAGTGTTTGCCTATATAAACTGATTGTAAACTCCACAGCTTTGTGGGAAAAATTTTAGTGGCACTTACTGATTTCACAGAAAGCAAAGGTAGCATGTTGGTTTTACAAAAAGATGCATTATATATTTTCAAAAATGTCCCCCCCCCCAATCCCAGGAGTCCTTAAATCAAGCAGAAACAATTTGATCTTTCCAGGAGCTTTCTGATCCAACCAAAAACCATTGCGGAAGCTAGCACAGCCTGATTTGATTGTCTGCCACCCCTTTCCAAGTTCCATATTAAAACTGTAAGTAAATATAGTAGATTCTGTTTGCTCTGTTTACTACTTAGCCTGGAGAGAACTGTAAAACTCAAAGCTTGCATGTTTAGTGATCTTGAATTGGTCTAAGAAAAGTATTGTTAGGTTAAGCCATGCTTCACAGAGAGTCAAATATTTGACTCCAAAGAAGGGTGGATCTTCAGATGCTGTTGAACTGCATCTCTCCTTGTTTCTGGTGATCCCGGCTAGAGTTGATGGGAGTTGTAATTCAAGAATGCCAAGGAACATGGATTCATCACTTCTCTCAGTGGGTAATCTGTAGTTCAAGCATGAACTCTACCGCCCACTACAGCCCTTCTCACCATCACAGAAATGAAGAAAAAGCCCTTTTCACGCCTTAGGAACACCTGAGATGTGGTGGGGTGGGTATCAATCCCATAAAATGTTCTGTTCACTATCTTATGGGTTGTAAATATATCTATGTGTAACAATTCATTGTTTAAATGATTAAACAATTGAATGCCGTTCAGGCAGTTGTATAGTTTTTAGCTGTGTTTATAAATGCTGTACGTAACGGTGTTCTGTTGGTGAGCCTTTTGGGGTCTGCTGTTTTATTCATTTATTTCTAAGAGCTGGATTCTTCACTTATTGATCTTTCAGTCATGAACTAGCACAACTCTAGAGTAGGACCCCCATATTCTTGGGGATTGGTTCCAAACCACTCATGGAAACAGAAAACTGCAGATAATAGCGAACACTATAGAGAGAGAGCATGGTAAAAGGGGGAAAATCCCATAAAAATATTTTCACGTGCATTAGTGGAACTGGGTACTAGATAGTGCCAGAGGCCATGCTATGTATTCTTCCTCTATTGGCCGTTTCTGGTAATACATGTGAAAATAATTCTGGATTTAAAAAAAAATATTTTCAGAGTGTGGGTAAGTGAAACAATGGATACTGATCCTGCAAATATGGGGGTCCTATTGTATTTTACTTCCAAGACACCACCCCACCAGTAAAAGAGGATTGGCCCTTGCTTCATTAACAGGAAGGGCCAGCACATAATAAAGTTACTGAATGAAAGTCATGTTTTAAAAGTAAATAGATGTGTGTGGGGTGCTTCAACC